GAAAAACTGACAAGCATCATTGTGAAGCTACCATGTAACAAAGAATGGATTACAAGTTAATCAAAATATCAATGAGATCCCCTAAATCATATTGAGCGAAGATGACCTTTGAACAACAAAACAGAGCATCTGGAAGCATAGATCTCTAGTTCTAGCAAAGCATGAAAAGAAACTATCATTCTGAGGAGGTATTCCAGAATTGAGACGATGGGGCCCACCAAAAAGAAGGTAGCTTCAAGATTCAAGTGCTCGCAAACACAAGAACCATTGACTAGAATCTGTCCTATGTAGCACCAGCAGATTATGATTTAGAGAGAAAGGAAAATTAACAAAAATAAAAGATAAATCTAATTCACAATCACAAGGATTGGCAACAGCCAAAGTTACAGAGTTCTTGCAACCACAATCACATGATTGTTAGGAACTCAATTCAATGAGAAGTCAATAATTTTATTCATAAGCAGTCCGTTCAATAATGTATGAAGCACTCATGTATTTATTTAGGATTTTACATAGCCTAATCTTACAAGAGTTCTTACATAGAAAGACGATACCAAAAAAAGATTCTAACTAAATAAGCATGAAACTTTAACAAAATATAAAAGACTTGCAAAAGTATAATAATTATAATAATTTTATATATTAGTAAAAAAACATGTTAGATGGTCCCGCATCATTCTCCCCCTCTTTAAAAGGACTGGACTCCAACAAGAGATCTAAGACCTAATCAACAAATAGATGTAGACCTGTCATAAGGAATTGCTTTTCCAGTTGTTTACAGAGTGCTTCATTTGAATGACCCTTCCACTTCAGCAGGAATTGATAAAGACCTTCATCGGTAATTTTTTTTTAAATAACAATGATGACATGAACATAAAACTTCTATTTGAACTATAGTTAAAGCAATGACGATGTGAACATAAAACCTTTATTATAATCAACATAGGAAAAACAACAGACATGTAGACGTACCAAACGTTTGTGCAAGTGCTCCTGAATTTGATAAAAATAAATAAAAAGAACTAACAAAAATATATTGGAGAAAACCTATAAATGAAACTACGAAACAAAAAACTGAAGAATAATACCTCAAAAGATAATAGGTTAAAAGCAAGCACACAACGGCGTAGAAACATCCCCAAGTTGCCATTTGGATCCAAAATAACCTGATCGTCTTCTAAAACTCCTGAATCAGGACCCCCAAGTATTCCTAACAAAATTTATGGATGAAAATAAATTTAAAAAATTGAATATAGACAAAATAAGTATAATGAATTAACCATTAGTCCCTCACCTCGCATTTCACTAAAGAAATTGAACAAATCTTCGGCTGTCGATAGAGATGACAACCTATTCGTCAAGTGATCAGTCAACCAATGATCCATCAAACCACCAATTTCTCTCAATTGATTTGTAAGTTCTTCCAGCTTGGGCTCTAAAATATCATCACAGGACTGCAAGATAAAAGGAGAAACCAAACAACTTTATCGCCAGACATGGCTCCAGCATTAAGAACTGCTCAACTTTCTTTAAAGGTCAAGATAACTATTAAGTTCCTCTATTTCTGCACATACAATCTATAGCAAAAAGAAACTCAACAAACAGAAGCTTTCTTATTTTGTTTTTGATTTTTTTTTAAAAGAAGTTTTCTAAGCAACCAGACAAGATCAACAAGATTCTTTTCCATCAGAATCAGAGAACAACTTGAAACAATAAAAAATCTAATGTCTGCAACTTATTCAGAAATTGAAAGTGTGGTGGAAAGTCTATTTTCTTTCAAAAAAGAAAAGAAAAGGAAAAAACAGCAAAGAAAGTGAACCTTGGTGAGAGCCAGCAGGTATAAGCCGAGGCGGTTGTGTTGAGAAACAGAAGAAAAAGGGAAGGGGACAGATATTTGAGCGGGGGGCGCATAGATCTGCAACAGTATGCAAATAGAGACTTTGTGTGGGGTAATTGCGAATGCACCTGGTGCCTTCAATATCCCTGCCATTCGATCTATCTCCTTGTTAAGCTCGGCTCTTGACTGTGTCATGAGAAGTAGTCTCTTTGTGTAAGATTTAGGTTTTAATTGGATCAGAAACTGAGCCTCTTCACTCAGTCATTTGAGAGAGATGCCATCATGTTGGGCACCACCACATTGTTGGTGTTAGATTGCAGTCATGGTGCGGTGTAAATCCATCTAGCAAGCTGCTAGCTCGTCCTGAGAAACAAAAAGAAATGAGACAATTACCAAAAAGGCAAAAGTTTCACAGCCTTCTAAGTCCTTCTTAAAATGTTTCTATTTGATTGGTTAGTCTCCAAATATGAAACCGAAAATGAACAAACATCAAAACCAAAATTGTTAAAACACAACACTGTCATGGTTCTCCGAGAACCTTTACCGAACATCCTAAATGCAAAGCTCTAGCTACTGTTTTCTAAATAGAACTTGACTAGACCTACTAATTTAAGTAAGTTAATGCAAAAAAAAAAAAAATGAAAATCAAATACACAAGAACATAAAAATTGTTGAGATCCTAATTCAATAGAAGGCGTGAAAGATCAATAGATAACAGCGTATAGATATGGTGTTCGCATGTTATCAGTCAAGCAATCAAACAAAAAACTCATAAACTAAAAGTTATCAAATACAAAAGTGAAGCTCGATTATACCGTTCACTGCGATAGCCCTCGCACATCTACCAAACCTAGTGGCTGGATTTGAAACATATCACCGGCGGCTTGGCAACTCCCGCCTTGAGTAGCTTTCGAGCTCGAGCGCCGGAGCGATGGCGAGGAGAAAGAGAAATGATGGCGCGTTTTGGAGGAGAGGCGTCTGTTACTGTGGCCCTTGGGTCTCGCGAGTTGAGAGGAAGCGACCGACGTCGGTTGAAGAGGTTAATTTGAAAGAGAGAATGATACGGCGGCGTTTGGCAGCAAGGCGTAGATAGCTAAAAGCTCAGAGGCTATGGTGGTTTGGGTTCCTTTATGGCCCGAGAGAGAGAGAGGAAAATTTGAAATCCCCATTTTGGAGGAGTGCGAGTGGGACGGAGGGAAGAGGCGCGTCGACCTTCTGCGCAGCAACCCCACAAAAAAATTTAAATTTTTATTTAATGTTATATTTGTATAAATATAATATTTTTTTTTAATAAAAAAAACTAAAAGTAAAATAAATAATTTATTTAAAATATTTAATTTAATACAATTAACCTCGTTATATTAATTTTTAATATTTATCTAATTTTAACAACATAAAAATTACTAACTGTAAATAAAATTAATTTACATTAAAGATGAATAATCACAATTTAATATATTATTTTCTATTATAATAATAATAATAATAGTTAAGGTTTACTTAATAAACATATTAGTAAGTCTAATTTCACAATAAACGTGACTGTACAATTAAATATACGTTATCTCCTATGTAAAATAATAAAAATATATATATTAAAAATTTCGTTAAAAATGTGTAAAAATTATAATTAATTTTAAATTAAAAATATAAATATGAGTAAATTTTAAAAATAAAATAAAATAAAATAAATATATAAAAACCTTAAAATAACAAATTTTAATAATTGTTGTTATATAACATGGTGAAATATAAAACACAATTTTCGGGTCAAATTTAATGTCATGTAGTCTTTCAAATTCTATAATTTTTAAAAAACATAGACTACAAAAATGTTACAAACTCAGGTGGATTCAAATAGAAAATCTCTCAAAACAGAATGTTGTTGTTTTGAAGATCTTACATATCATGTTCTACCTTATAGATTAAAATTCTTTTAATACAATTGCAGTCTACAAATGTTGATTTACCTTATATTATCAACATCACTTGCGCAAACCCGTATACAAGATTCTGCTTCCCCAGGAAAAAAACTCCAACAATCATCAAACTTGGTCCAATTCATCCATTTGGTTTCAAGTATTAAGGATAAGCACTGCCTCGAAAGTTCTAGTTCTTCGATCTCCGCGGAGACACTCCATCGTGAGAAAACTCTTTTAAAAGAAGCTTCTTTCCGAACCAGTTGATGTTTGAAAGATGTTTTTGTTTTGTCCATTTTGCTTGACGAACTTCCAGTGGCTGCATTAAATGATGGGCCCGAATAATTTCCTCAGAAGAGCTCATACTGACACTTTTTCTTTGGCATTTGAAGCACGAGCCGTACCAGATCCTGTGAAGTCCTTCACAAAGGTGCTAAGACATCCATTGATTACACGCGGCGCTCCCCCATCACAGAACCGTTTTGCGAGATCAACAGCCTTCCCTTGCACAGAAACACATTCTAAATCGTCTAGAGATAAATATAAAAGGAAGACAGTGTGAGGGAGAAAAGAGGCACCTCATTTATGACAATTTGGTGTCGAGTTCCAAGTACCGATATCTCAGACATAGCCAAATGCAGGATACAGAACTCCAGTATTCTACCCGCTGGCTCATTCTGAAATAAATCAAGCATAAGGTGTAAATTATTATTCTGTTTTTTGGGAATGAATACTGAGTCCTTGAGGAAGGAAACACAAGACCCTAAAGAGCTAAGAATTGAAATGCCATTGTTCTAGATAGCTATGCAGATCAAGGTGAAGTCTTAAACACAGAAATGTGGCTCATGTAATCCTAAACCTTCCAATTTGATGGTGCGACTTTGTCAATAACAAGAACTTGACCATCCCACTTATCCACAACTGCAACCAAAAGTTTCCTTGTGAACCTGAAAGCAAGTATGAAACCAAGATTACAGGGAAGCACAGCAACACACACACAAAAACCATCATGTTTACTCTTACTGCCGCCAAAGACTATCCTAACTTTGTCACATAATGACATACATAATTGATGAAATGATGAACAAGAGGAGCTTACCGCAGAAGAAGTTTGCTGTATACCAGCTTTGGAGGAGCTGAAAGGACTTCTGCCTCTGAGATACCACAAAGCATGAATTGATTCAGGGGTCTAGAATGTTTAAGGGAAACACAAAAGCCAGGATGCATCCAATCTTTTCATAATTTCTCCACAATACAACCAAGCCAAGTGTATACCGGTATGGAAATTTTTGGAACATTGTACAAAGTAAAGCCTTTAATATTATGAGCACAAATATATTCTCTATAACATGTGGCTCAGAACCAAAACTTGTTATCAGGTATTAACAAATATAACATAACTGGTTTATATAAGGAGCTGCAGTAGCTGGAATCACTCAATTTAAAGGAAGCAAGTACAGAAGTGTACCAGAAATGACAACCTACAATGCTGACTGCAAAATGTAATAAATGGCTTTGGTACACTCATGTCAACATAAGTTTAAGAATCAGCAGTGCTTTTAGTTGTTTCCATTTTCAAGCAGTAAACTAATCAACATGGAAGAGAATGCCTGACAATGAGGAAGTACAACGACAATAGCAGAAATAAGAAACTAAGAGGCAAGGACATCTCACTTCTGGTATCTGAGCAAAGAGAAAAAAAAACATGCCAGCTAAACTAGAAAGATAAAACATAGATATCAAGGAAGCTAGTACCATACTCTAGTAATGATATTAAAAAGAAAAGAGAGCATTTATATGTCTACATGTTATGCAGAGTAGAAAGAGCATACTAATAGGAGCACAGAAAAGACACACACACACACACACACACACACACACACACAGCAAGAGTACCAATTGCTGACTCTTTCTCATCATTCTGGAGGAGCTCGTCTGCTTCTTCAATTGTTTCTGCAGTGACCGGGGGTCCTCCAAAGCTCATGTGATTGTATTCCAGCAATGATGCCTTGTCAAATTCATAACCAGGTTCTGCACATGCAAATCTTAGATTAGTTAGTTAGATGCACATTGAACAATTGATTAACTGATCATAAGTTTTGCAAGCAACTATAAATTACTTGATAAGAAGTGTTGCAGCCTAGGGCAAGCTAATCACAACTGAAAGATATCAGGGAATTACCTCGTCTTGCATTCATTCGCTTCTCAAAAAGCCGAATTGGGTCAGACCCTTCTAAACATGCTGCGTAAACTATTAATCTGTCCATGAAAATCACCAAACGATACACTAGTTATCTAATGTCCCATTCTAGTTATAGATATAATTAGTCAGAGTTTAATTAGTTAACTAAAGTAGGCAGCATATCATACAAATAGAAAAAGAGGAGCAAAGTACTTGCAGAAGGAGCACCGAACTTACAATCTAACTATCAAATATATAAGGATTGGTTTATGAGTTAAACTAATAAAGAAAAGAAACTAAACATACAAGTTCACGAGACTGAAAGTATAGAGAAGATTCTTGAATTTGATTTTTGACTCAACAAGAATCTCGTAATTACCCAAATCCATTGCTAACAAATTTGGAATTGTAACATATACTGAAGCCTTCTGATTCTAAAGCTCCGCTGAGCTAAGTAAGGTCTTGAATTTTTAGAAAAATTTTAAAACGAACAAAATGCTTATAGTCGGAGACAAAAGGAAGGAAAAGAAGGAAGGCTTAAAAACAGGAGAAGGCGAAAGAGAGAAAAGGAATCATACAGAGCGAGCTCTCTGGCGGCTCTGGGGCTGCAAAACCTTCCATTCCTATCGATCTTGGGCATAACGCTCATCGCTTCCCTCGACTTCTCTATTGTTTCTCCAACCGAAAACTCGGGAGTCCGAAGAGAGTTTCTAGGAGGGAACAGCTTGTGATTCTTTCTCCTCAAATTGGGAACCAGACTCACCAACCGGTATTTCAGAGAGCAAGAAGAGTAGAGAGGTAGAAATGGCTGGTGAATACACGCCGTAAATTGAGTTTTTGATAAACAATGACAAGATGAAGGAGAATGGAGGAGCGTTAGTAGCGAGGTTCCCTCCATTTTTGCTCTGCTCGTCTCCTGAAAATGCTCAAGTAGATAACAATAAAATATCTTCTTACTGGAGAGAAAAAATAATATAGTAAATTATTAAGGTTTTAATTAATTTTTAGTCTTTTAAAATTAATTTGTAATTTTCGATGTTTTAACAGGAATAAAAAATAGTTTAATAGTTAAAAAAATTATTTTTTTTTTTAAATTAAAATAATTATAACGAATTATTATTATTATTATTTACTTTATATATAAAAATAGTGCCCGAACTGTGCAGAGAGACGACGTCGTTTCATCCGGAAGTGTGCTATCTCTGCGTTCCTCGCTTCGTTCCTCCCACTCTATAGTCGAAATCAATATACCGTGGCGAACTCTCGAAGCTCCAAGGACTCTGTTCTTCTTGAAGTTTTATGAGTGATAGGTAATGAATCAGGTGAGCAACTGCTAAAATTCTGCATTGGCTTGAGCTGTGTTTCCTGATTTCCTTGATTGCTTATGCAGAAGATGAGAGTGGATACCATAGTCATCTCCATTCTATTTGCTGCTCTATGTATAGCTTCAATTGCTAGATCAGCATCTTCGCTTTCCAAAGACCCGTTTCTCGGAATTTCTCCTGAAGGTTTGCCTCTAATGATTTTTTACAATCTCCGTTTCATTTCCGGTGTCTTTGTTTTTCCTTGTTTTTTTTTTCTTTTTTTTTTTCATAGTCATGGTTTACTGATCTTTGCGGGCCTTATTCTCCACTTTTTGTGCGCGATTCCCAGATGTGAAATATTACAAGTCCTCGTCAGAGATAAAATGCAAAGATGGATCCAGGAAATTCAGCAAAGCTCAGCTCAATGATGACTTTTGCGATTGCCCTGATGGCACCGATGAGCCAGGTAATTCTTGCTTGCCTATTTTCTTATGTTTTTCCTATCTTCTAATCTCCCATTAGGTTGCTTTAGGCAGATGGGTGTGTTTAATCCTGTTAGTCTATAATGGTGTTAAATATTGCCGAGGGGTTGCTCTATATGATATCAGTACATAATATTATTATATCAAAGCTTTTTTTTGGCTGCCTAATATCAGATGAGTATGCTGGGTCTCTTGCAATTTGGAAGAAATGTATCTATTTGTTTATCATTGTAATTTGTGTTTTTTTTTTCTGTATCTTTTGGTTCCATTTTTGCTCTGATGGTCGACTTTAGCATTTTAGGAACTATATTAAAGTAAAAATTCCTTTGGTTTCCGAGCACTTCGTAACTCTTTTGCTTGATGCTAAGGATTTTGGGGCCTTTTTTAAATCAATATATCATTGTGCACTTTCAGGTACATCAGCTTGCCCAAATGGAAAATTTTATTGTCAGAATGCTGGGCATATCCCCAAAGTCGTGTTTTCATCTAGAGTAAATGATGGTATTTGTGGTAAGTGGCTTGCAGACTCAGTGGAATAGTCTTTTACTTCTTTCAGTTTGCATATGAATCTAAAGTTCTTTTAGCTGTGTTCTCTTACTCTTAATGGTGGCATTTTGCATTTTTTAGACAAAATATATAAACTGGAAGAAATACATTTGTTTAGAATTTGGAGTATTCATAGTGATGATATGCTTCCTCACAAACAATGAATTTTTTCAAATCCTTATTGTGGAATAGTCTTTTACTTCTTCCAGCTTGCGTACGAATCTAAAGTTCTTTCAGCTGTGTTCTCTTACTCTTAATGTTGGCATTTTGCATTTTCTAGACAAAATATATAAACTGGAAGAAATGCATTTGTTTAGAATTTGGATTATTCTTAGTGATGATATGCTTCCTCTGCAAACAATGAGTTATTTCAAATCCTTATTGTAGAAATCAGATGATTCTATTTGGAAAAAAAATAATAAAAATGAAATCAGGAACAAGTTGATTTTAAGCTGACAGCTATACTCTTTCAACTTCATGAGGAGGAGATTCTATTTTGTTTTTGTCTTTTTGATGGCCCTGGAAGGAGGAGAGTTTCTTGCCGCAAGGAAGCAATTGATAACTTTCACCATCATGCTCAAATAGTATATCATGGTTAACATTCTCACATGCTATCGCTTCTGTTGTTGAATTTTTGTTTTCTAATTTTCTGGCACATAATGTGCAGATTGCTGTGACGGAAGTGATGAAAATGACGGTAAAGTGAAGTGCCAAAATACTTGCTGGGAGGCTGGAAAAGTAGCTAGAGATAAGTTAAAGAAAAAGATTGCTACATATCAGGAGGGGGTTACTTTAAGGAAACGTGAAATTGAAAAAGCAAAAGCAGCTATTGCTAAAGATGAGGCAGAACTAACAAAGTTGAAAAATGAGGAGAAAGTACTGAAAGATATTGTTCAACAGCTCAGAGGTAACAACTTTACCATGTAAATGTCAATAAAATCTGTGACCCAACAATGTTATGTTCTTGCTTTCATAAATAACTTTATACAAATGGAAATGTGGAATTGGTTGAATCTATAACAGATCATGATTCTTAATGTGCCAGTTAGCAAGACCAGATATGATGATCAATGTGTGCATGCATGCATGTCTATGGCAGCAATTGGTTTTTATTATTGCTTAACTGTTCTTTTCTTGTGCACCCTGTATAGAAAAGAAAGAGCAAATAGAGAAGGCAGAGGAAAAGGAACACCTGGAGAAAGAAAAAAAAGAAAAGGAAAGAAAAGAAGCTGAACAGGCTGTTGTGCACGAAAAAGGTGAAGACGAAGCCAAAAAGAAAGATGAGAGTGATGAAAAATCTACAGAAAGTGTGCATGATGACATAATTGGTACTACTGATGATTCTTCTTCAAACCAGGTCGGGTATTTGTTATTACCTCTTTCATGCAACCTTTTTCATCCCATAACTATAACAATAACATGTACTTTTTTTGCTCATGTATTTGTTTCCTCTTTATGGTAACAATTATGATTGCGAAGTCTTATTTAGTCTTCCTCTGCTAGGTTACAAGTTTTCCTTATGTCAAATCTGTACCTCTGGTGGATAATCATTATTTTCACTCCTGGTGATTATTAATTGAAATGGTATCATTAACAAAAGGCTCCTCGTGGCTCTGCACTTTTATGTGGAGCAAACATTTTGGTTTTTGGTCTTTCCAAATATATTTGGAAGTTAAAATTTGTTAATTCAAAACCCTCAGAACTTTCTACTTTGATCTTTAGTGTCAATTCTTGAAGTTGTATTTGTTGTTTTTACTGTTATTACTATTATAATTATGATGAAATATATGAAGTTCTTTGATTGTGACCTTGCATTTAACAAGAATTAATATGCGCGAATTTCTGTTTCTGTAGCATATCTCCATTCTCTATTCCTTTGTATTGCAAAACTTTTGTCCCTCTATCTGTCAGATTAAGATAGGGTCCTGAATTAGATCATGATGTTCAGGAGCTAGCTGCTGAAGTTGGAAATGATGATACTTCTGAAAAAGATCAATCTTCTGCTACTGCAGCAGACCAGGTAAATCAAAAGTTTGAACTCTGTTGTTCTTCATTTTTAAAATTTTTTTTCTATGCTAATAAAATCATACAGATACAAGCCAGCACTAGATCCTGATATGTTCTTCTCCAATATAGCATGCAGTGGACAAAAAGGAAAAGTCTCCACCAGAAGATAATGAAAACTCTGCTTTTGTACCTGAGGTTGTTCATGATGCATGAGAAGAGCAGCCTCCCAAGGAAAGCGAGAAAATGGTAGTTTCCTTTTTCAGTTAACTATTAATTGATCACCTCTTTATGCTTATTTCCAAGAAAAAAAAAAAAAAAAAAAAAAAATCAATTGATAATCTCTTTATGCATCATCTTGTTTTTGTCAAGGTTCTAAAAATGCATTGTGGCAAATTTTAATAATGAAATCAATTAGTTGAGGCAATTTGGTTGAGAATATCTCCTAAACTGTTTCTGTTAAATATAAATTTTAAAAGTAGTACCTAGTGAAGTTAATGTAATTAGTGAATATATTTATGTTATGGCAACTCTCTTGGGGAGATTAAGTGATTTAAGTTATGTTTAGGTTAAAGATGCAAAGGAAGTAGAAAATTTTGAAGGTAAGGGAAAATATTGTTGATTTTGAAACAAAAATAACATTTGAGGAAGAAGAATGGATATTTTGTGGTAGAAACAGTTCTCAACAAGGTATGGTGATGATGAGTGAACACATGCTTATTAAGAATTTAGGATGTCTGAATTATCTAAAAACATATGTAACCAGAAAATTTGCTGGGTGATCAGTATCCTAAACTATATGTTATTTTGACAATAATACATGTTATGACATCTAGGATGCGTTGATTGTTGGTTGTGAACATGCGCTTCTTGTTATGGTTGCTTTTATTATATTTGAGATAATGCTATTAACCAAAAAAAAAGCAAAATGAGGACATGCTAAGATGAAGTTGTGAATTATGGAAGAAAAAGTTTTGCCTATAGTTCTTCCCCTTTGCTCAGAGGGGAGAAAGCTACAGGGTACAATATCTAGTTTATTGGGCATTCAGTAGGTTGTGCATGGGTCTGTCTTTGCTGAGCTCCTTACTTGGGAGATATTGGTTCATCCAAGAGCAGGAAGAACAGCACCGCCTTCATTCCACTTTTGGACTATTTAGAAACAAAGAAATAAAGGTTTTTTAGGCATCGTGTATTTAGCTTTTCTAGAATTTGTGATCTCTGGTACCAGAACTTATGTATTTCTTTTACAAGCCATTCTCTCCTTAATGGAGAAGATCTAGGGTCCTCTGCTTAATGGAGAAGATCTAGGATACCTTGTTGATTTTTTGGCTAATTTTCTCTTGTAATCTCTTTTCTCTCTCTAGGTCATTGGTGCTACACCCTTGCTGCCTTATTTTTGGACATCAGATCTAAAAAATTATCAATCTCTTATTTTGGATAATGTAGGGGCGTCACATATTTCTTTGATAAAGAAGTGGTTCAAATGAAGATGGAGTCAACTAAGAAAGTGATTAACCACTGAAGAAAGATGAAGAAGGGCTAAAACTAAAAAGTTATTGTTATGGACTTCACCAGTCAAGGCTCCTGTTATCTTATAAACAAAGCTACTTACATGCACCTAATAAGCAAAGCCAAACACCCTATTTGTCCTTGATTTGCATTTTTTCTTTTTTGCTACAATTAACCCAAACAATGCAGCACCCTATTTGTCCATGGTTTTTTAGATTTGCATATGAGAAGTTTGCAATTCTCTTTGTTTTATCATGTTACTATCTGTGATGATTTTGATACCTGTTATCAGGAGGGGGGTGATATGGATGAAAATGCTGAGGGATTGTCAAGGGAAGAATTGGGGCGTCTGGTTGCTTCTCGATGGACTGGAGAAAAAACTGAGCAGCAGGCTAAGAAAGCTGATGGTACAGGGGAACATAATCATGACGATCATGAAAATCATGATGAGATTCCTAAGGACTCGCATGATGAGATTCCTAAGGACTCGCATGATGAGATTCCTAAGGACTCGCATGATGAGGAATATTATGGGTATGCTTCAGATACTGATGATGAGACTGGAAAATATAATGATA